CAGAACTGCGAGTGAAGCGATGAAGCTGACTCAAGTCGAATATGACAACATATACACTTTGGACATCTGTTACAACCGTGACTTCTGAGAAAAGTACATGGTTGTTGGAGGAGATAAAAGCTGAGTTTCAAGATGTGTTTACGAGAGATGGTTGCTTAGAAGGAGAATATGAGTTGGAAATTGACCCAACAGTGCAGCCTGTCAAACTCCCTAAACGCAGGGTCCCAGTGACAATGATGAAACCACTGAAAGAGGAACTGATGAGTCTCGCAGACAGAAAAATAATAGCACCTGTGGAATGCAGTACTGAATGGATCAGTGGCATGGTGACTGTGCAGAAACCAAATGGCAAACCCAGGATATGTATTGATCCAAGACCACTGAACAAAGCTTTGAAGTGCAGTCATTTTCCGTTACCAACTATTGATGACGTCTTCCCTGATGTTTCGAAAGCCAAAGTCTTCAGTGTGTGACGTGAAACATGGCTTTTGGCATGTGAAGCTCACTGAATTGTCGAGTCATCTCACCACATTCGCAACACCGTTTTGGTCGTTTTCCTTGGCTGAGAATGCCGATCAGCCCAGAGAATGGGGATCAGCCCAGCGCCGGAGGTCTTTCAGCACAAACTGATGCAAGCGTTGGAAAACTTACCTGGCACTTACATCATCTCTGATGATATACTGATCACTGGAGAAGGTGAGACTATTGAGGAAGCTGTGACAGATCATGACAGTAAACTGAGACTCTTTCTGGGAAGATGCAGAGAGAGGAACGTCAAACTGAATGTGGACAAACTCAGGCTCAGGAGACAGGAAGTACCATACATCGGACATCTACTCACAGCAGAGGGACTGAGAGCTGACCCGGAAAAAGTGCGAGCCATTAAGGAGATGCCAGCTCCTTCGGATGTCAATGGTGTACACAGACTGGTTGGAATAGTCAACTATTTGTCTGATGACTGTGAGCCTCTGAGTCAACTGACACACAGACAGTCTATGGGAATGGACAGATGTGCAGGAAGATGCATTTAAAAGGCTGAAGGAGAAAATAACACAAGTCCCAGTTTTGAAATATTACAGCCCGGAAGAGGAGTTAACACTACAGTGGCAAGCGAGACGGGGCTAGGAGCAGCTCTGACTCAAGGTGGCAAACCAGTGGCGTTTGCAAGTCGTGCGCTAACACTCACTGAACGGAGTTATGCACAAATTGAAAATTAATGTCTAGCCATTGTGTTTGGTATGGAGAAGTTCCACCAATACACCTAAAGTCGTCTGGTTAGAGTTCAGTCTGACCATAAGCCACTTGAGAACATTGTTAGGAAGCCGCTGATGCAGGCACCTAAAAGACTTCAAAGGATGCTTCTAAGATTGCAAAAATATGACTTAAGCATAACATATGTTCCAGGCCGCGACATGCTACTCGCTGATAGATTGAGTAGGGCCTACCTGCAAGAAAGCAACAAAAGTCAGACAGAATTAGAAATGGAGTGTGTCAACATGGTGGATTATGTACCTGTTTCAACTGAGAGCATGGCAAAAATAAGATCTGGAACAAGAACTGACCGGAAACTACAAACTCTGATACAAACGATACAAAATGGATGGCCAACTTGTAAAAAAGATATACCTGTCGAAATAACCCAGTTTCAATCTTTGCAGGATGAACTGAGTACACAGAATGGACTGGTCTTCAGAGGAGAGAGAGTGGTGATACTGGATGCTCTCCAGGCAGATGTGACGCAGAAACTGCACTCGTCACACATGGGAACGGAAGGCTGCCTCAGGAGAGCAAGGGACTGCGTCTACTGACACGGTATGAATGACTACATCAAAAAGTATGTCGCTAAATGTGACATATGTCGGTCTGTAGATGCAAAACAACAGAAAGAGACACTACAACCGCATGAGCCGACCACCAGACCATGGACTAAAGTTGGGACAGATTTATTCAACTTTGATGGTAGAGACTACCTGATGTTGATTATTTTTCCAACTTCTGGGAGATTGATTTCCTACCAGATACAAAGTCGAGTACTGTGATTAAGAAGCTCAAAGCTCATTTTGCACGTCAGGGAATATTGTTTTCTCTGACAACGGGCCCCAGTACAGTTCGACAGAGTTTACCAACTTTAGCCGGAAATGAGATTTTACACACAAAACCTCATCGCCTGGTTACCCTCAGAGCAATGGGAAGGCTGAGTCTGCTGTTAAAACTGCCAAGCGACTCATGAGAAAGGCTAAACTGGCAGGTCAAGATCCATATCTGGCCTTATTGGATCACAGGAACACGCCAACTCAAGGTTTCGACACCAGTCCTGCACAGAGACTGTTAAGCAGGAGGACAAGGACACTCCTTCCGATTGGTGACAGCCTGTTGCAGCCGAAAGTGACTGACAACACGTCAGGACTGCTGAGGAATAAGGAGAGACAAGCAAAGTACTACAACCGTTCTGCAAAGGACATGGACACATTGGACCCAGGAGATACAACCTTTTGAACCTCACACCTTATGGAGTAAGGCCAGAGTTTGTAACTCACTTGGAAACCGCTCTTATGAAGTGGAGCTGGGCAATGGCAGAATCCTCAGAAGGAATCGTCTCCATCTGAGAAGAGCAGTGGACGTGAGCACGGACAGGTGAAAAAAACCTCAGCTTGGAGGACAGGACGACTCGTTGCCATCACGGAGAACAGTGAGCCTACAGGGTACCATCACCAGGTCTGGCACCGGATTGTATTATACCAAGAGAGGATGCTTCCTGACGTAGAGTTAGAAGAAGAAAAAGAACAAGGTGAAACAAGTAGCATTTTTAGCACAGCATGGTGGAATGAGCCGGTGGCTAAATATGCTCCATTATAGAGGCCACGGAAATGGACGTGCAGACTTGTACATAATATTGCTAACATCCTCTTCTCTGCTTCTGATATTAGTGCAAGAGAGGTTTCGCAACCAGACCATACACAAGAGACACTAATAATCCAACGTTTTTATGATTCGTAGTAGTTGAATAAGCAGGAATCGGGTAATAAAGAAGTAGGCAGGCAATAATCCAGGACACGGGTTTATTAGGGCAACACAGGACAGATGGCAACTAAACATTAATGACAGACCTAGGGATACTGACACAGACGCGGACTAAATACACAAGAAAAGCCAGGATTCACAGGAAACAGGTGCACACAATCGGGAAGTAACACGAGTTAACAAGGTGGGCGTGGCACACAGGAGGGGCGAACGAGCAGGTCATGACAACTGGGTTATCTCCTTTATTTAAATTAAAATGACTCAACCACTGGGCACAATACTTTTCCCCTCTTTATGTGAGCCTGCTGCTTCAAAAACAGTTACTAATATTAATTATCTGTCCTTCCCCCTTATCATTTTCCTTTATAAATATAAGATTTTGGTACTCTAAAACCTTTCTTCCAAATTAATAGGTTCCTTTTCTGTGGCCTTTATTTGAAGTGCCAGAGGACTTTCATTTGTGCATGGCCACCGAGGTGGTGGTGCAGCTTTAGGATCTCGACAAGCCGTTTCTCTGTCATATTACTTTGTGGGTCTTGTTTGTGGAAATGATTTGAACACCCAGAGGAAAAAAAACAGAAAAGAGATCCCAAAGCTGTATCATTTATTTCCTAGACGTCTATGACAGCTGTGTGAAATCAAAATGAGACTATGATTTATTTCTCATCTCTCTTTTTTTTCTTCAGCAAATTGACACGCAAAATCTTGTATCAGCCTAAGTTTTATAAGAAATCTCATTAAGGTTTAAAATTTCTCAGATTGTTTCAACTTTTTATGCCTCAATTTGATTTACTGTGAAGAAATTAGAGAGCTCTCTACTTGAACCTAATCTATTCTCCTCCCATTGTTTCAAACACCTGTGTGAAGCTGGTACCCAAATAATCAGAAAATAATGAGTTCTGTTTGTCTGTGCTAGGTTTGTGTAGCAAAAATAAATATTTATGCTATACTGCTCTAAATATTTCAATTACTGTTTCAGCTGCTTGAAGTACAGCTTTAACTACTGTATGTACTGCTGGAACTACATTAAGCAGTACTAAAGTTTTTCTTTTTCAAGTTTGTCAGTTTTCTTTTCATCCTCAAATGCAAGGCCATATTTGGCCATAGTTGCTGAAGTGCTTGGACTAAGGTTGCCATATTTGTTGAAGCGAAAAAGAGGCGTCAGAATATTAGTGAGTTCAAGTTCACTGGCCAATCAGGTAGCACTTTCCATGAGTATTAATGAGTTTTCCTAACCACTCTGTAGATGAAAATTTGTGTCCAGCTAAATTAGGACGTGGGGTAACCCTACAGTGAACTCTTGTTTTACAATCTATACACAATTGACACAATATATGTGTATGTTTGGACAAACCGCTGATTTTTGGAAAACCGCCCGGACAGGGCCCCAAAAAAAGGACATGTCTTGGGTAACCCAGACATATTGTAACCCTAGCTTGGGCCCCAAATATCTGACAGTGTTGACAGATATTCAGGACACAAGTTCAAACAACTAAAAATTAACCAAATTCAATCTGGCCATTTCTGATATTTCCGATTCTTTTTGCACCTGTCTCTGTGATATCCAAAATGTTATTTTAATTTAATTGAAGCCCTGTTTTAAGCCATTTTAACATAGGAAGCCTGTTGCAGGACAAGGCTATTTTAAGGTTCTGTTCAGACCTTTAATCATATAAAAACAAACCTTTGTCAGATATAACCGACAAAATTACATTATTGTATTGCAATACCCCACATGAAAAAAATACCTTTATTAATTACATTATTTTATTTTTTCAGGAAAATTCAGTTTTTTTCTGTTGGATATGATTTGTCACTGTTATGATACTATACTTATGTATATGATATAAACCACCAACATGAGGTGGAAATTTAATTAAATTCAATTAATAAAAAGTGGTATAAATTGATAAATCCAACATTAGAAGTGTAATAAAGAGTTTTGTGACTATATGTGATCCTTTGTCTTGCCTTTACAGGTATGTCAGTGTGATGTCAAGTCCAAATGTGACTGTGATGGTGTGAAAGGAGAAAGGGTAATTGGTTTTCTTGCTTATGATTGATCTGCAATTTAGCAGACATTTCTTTGAAACAGCTTTAAACATTTTTTTCAGTGTTTTGTCTATATTATTGTGTGCTCTATGCAACAGAAAATATTTACAAACCCCCCTTTTTGGATGAAAAAATATTAAAAGGAAAATCTCCAGGTCTTTAGTTCTTTGGTACATAGTTGCATATCACAGGATAGTTGTTTGGGGTCTTTGGCGGGACCCTGGATGAAAGAAAACACATGGTTGTCAAGGATAAGAAACATATCTCAATAAAGCACGGCAGTATGGGTATGAATGTATGAAACCCAGTGTACTTGAGATTTAATAAGACACAGAATGCAGTTTGTATTTAATATTAATAGTACCATTGTTTGTCATTTATTTATTCTGGTATTGTCTAGACCAGGGGTCGGCAATCTGTTGCTCATAAGCCGCTTTGAGCATGAGGCTCTTCTCAGAACGATAGACGCATTCACATTTTCATGTCTTAACATATTATGATAATACTTTAGTAAATTATTAATGGCTTAATATTATTTTTCAGATATTATTATTATTAGATATCTCTTTAGATATATGTGAATGAGGCGTTTCTGTCTTAACTGCATAATTTACATCCTCAAAATCATTCTCTATGATGAGAGTACGTCTCTGGTCAAATGGTACGCTTTCCGGAGTTTTCTGTAGTACATGAGACTGGATGTAGGCTTCAAAGTTTATTGGGATTCCTAATTTTTTTATATACTTTTTGTAGTAAATCGTCACTGTACTATGGAAGCGTATTACTGCCACGACATAATAAAAAACTATTCTCACTATTATACGAGTTCCGAGGGCAAATGGAATGTACTAAAACTGCCCGAAATGGGTTGACAGAGACATTTCAGGGATTTTGAATCATTCTGCGCTGCAGATGGGTTAATTGCGTTAAAAATTTTAATCAGATTAATCATGATGATGGATTAATCCACGTTAACCCGTTAATTTTGACAGCCCTAATATATATATATATATATATATATATATATATATATATATATATATATATATATATATATATATACATACACACACACACACACACACTATTTTAGCCATAGATTAGAATGAGACCCAGATGTTTTAAAAAGATTGACATTTATTTTTTTCATGAAAAGAAGTGTTACCGTGCATCTGATACACACACAATGTGACAGGCGCTTTATTATGGAGTCAGAATAGTGCCATATCTACTTGTATGTGTACTTTTCAATTTGCACCCGTAAAAAGTAATTCTCGCACTGAACACAATTTTCATTCGCAAAAAAAAATATTTTGCAAAAACACGTCAATATTTTTTGTAAATGCGAAACTAAACATCTTCATAAAAATATTTTTTACAAAGATAGAATGGTTTTCAAGTACAAAACCTGTATTGCAAATCCAAGTCCTCTTGCAAATACCAACCTGCGAGTGCAAATTCACACTTGCGCTAGGAATTGTGGGATATGGAAGTGGTAGTGGAATCGGGCAAGCCACCATCGTTGCTGACTCGCTTCAGGAGGGCATAACTGACCACTCCCCCTTAGCCCTTGCTGCTTTGAGACACACTTCAACATGGAGACAGGTCTTTCAGGAAAGCGCGACAGGAAAGCGCAAACGATGGCGGAGTGTGTAGGGACCGGTTTGGGATTGGGCTTTCCTTTCGCCGTTTTTAGTGGTGTGCGCTCCCGAGACAGGAATGCATTCTACGGCAGGGATGCCTTTTTTGGCATAACATCGCCCTTGACCATTTGAACCTTTAATCCTATCGGGATAGGTTTTCTTGTTATAACGTAATATTTTCATGTTATAACGTGAAGCAGTTTCACGTTTTAATGTGATACGGTTTCACGTTTAAATGTGATACGGTTTCACGTTTTAATGTGATACGGTTTCACGTTTTAATGTGATACGGTTTCACGTTTTAACATGATGTTTTCACGTTATAATGTAATATTTTCACGTTATAACGTGATAGTGAGAATATTTTTTTATTATGTCATGGCAGAAAATACGCTTCCGTGCCATGCCTTTCCAGGTCTTCGGAAAATTATTATATTTTCTCCGATTTACATATTATAGTCAGCTGAGTTCATCCTCCTTGGATTGCCACCTTATCGTGGTGGAGGGGTTTGTGTGCCTCAGTGAACCTGGCGGCTATGTTGTCGGGGGCAATTGCCCCTGGTAGGGTCTCCCAAGGCAAAAAGGTCCCTGGGGAGGGGCCAGACAAAGAGCAATCCAAAAGAACCCCATGATAATGAATTATAACAAAGCTTCGTTTCCCTCGTCCGGACTAGGGTCACCGGGGCCCCACCCTGGAGCTATTTCCCTGCGCCTTCGGGTCGGGGATAGGTCTCTGACTGTCATCTGTGCTTATGCGCTGGATGTCAGTTCAGAGTACCCGGCCTTCTTGGATTCCCTTAGTGGTATGCTGGTTAGCGTGCCACGAGGGGATTCCATCGTTTTGCTGGGGGACTTCAACGCTCACGTGGGCAATGACAGTGTGACCTGGAGGGGGGTGATTAGGAGGAATGGCCTCCCTGATCTGAACCAGAGATGTGTTCTGTTATTGGACTTCTGTGCAATGCATGGTTTGTCCATAACGAACACCATGTTCGAGCATAAGGGTGTCCATAAGTGGACATGGTACGAACATGCCCGGGGCAACAGGTCAATGATCGATTTTATAATCGTATCATCTGACCTGTGGCCTAATGTCTTGGGCACTCGGGTAAAGAGAGGGGCAGAACTGTCAACTGATCACCACCTGGTGGTGAGTTGGCTCAGGTGGCGGGGGAGGAAGCTGGTCAGACCTGGTAGGCCCAAACGTGTAGTGAGGGTCTGCTGGGAATGTCTGGCAGAGGCTCCTGTCCGCCGGAGCTTTAACTCGCACCTCCGGCAGAATTCCAACTGCATACCGGGGGAGGTTGGGGACATTGAGTCTGAATGGACACTGTTCTGGACCTCCATTGTGGAAGCGGCCATACGGAGTTGTGGCTGCAGGGTGGTCGGTGCCAGTCGTGGCGGTAACCCCCGTACCCCATGGTGGATACCAGAGGTGAGGGGGGCCGTCAAGCTGAAGAAGGAGGCCTACCGGGAATTATTAGTCTGGGGGTCTCTGGAGGCAGCAGACTGGTACTGGCAGGCCAAGCGGAACGTGGCTCGGGCGGTCACTGAAGCAAAAACCCGGGCGTGGGAGGAGTTCGGTGAGGCCATGGAAAGTGACTTTCGGTCGGCCTCAAAAAGGTTCTGGCAAGCCATCCGGGATATCAGGAGGGGGAAGCAGCTCCTGGTTCCTACTATTTATAGTGGGGAGGGGGTGCTGTTGACCTCACCTGGGGACATCACCCGGAGGTGGAAGGAATACTTTGAGGACCTCCTCAACCCTGCCTCAGATACATCTGCGCACACTGCCTTTGAGACATCTGAGGGCACGGAGCCCGAGGGTGCTGGGGGGGGCTTGTCCATCACTGGGGCTGAGGTGGCCACGGTGGTTAAAGAGCTACGTGGTGGCCGGGCCCCGGGGGTGGACGAGATCCGCCCGGAGTACCTGAAGGCTCTGGATGTTGTGGGGCTGTCGTGGCTGACACGCCTTCTCAACAGTGCATGGAGGTCAGGGACAGTGCTGCTGGATTGGCAGACTGGGGTGGTGGTCCCCTTATTTAAGAAGGGGGACCGGAGGGTGTGTTCCAACTACAGGGGGATCACACTTCTCAGCCTCCCTGGGAAGGTCTTTTCCAGGGTACTGGAGAGGAGGGTGAGATCGATAGTCGATTCTCGGATTCAGGAGGAACAATGCGGTTTTCGTCCTGGCCGTGGAACACTGGACCAGCTTTATGCCCTTGCGAGGGTACTGGAGGGGGCCTGGGAGTTTGCCTATCCAGTCTACATGTGTTTTGTGGATTTGGAAAAGGCTTACGACCGGGTACCCCGGGGTACTCTGTGGGTGGTGCTTCGGGAGTATGGGGTCTGGGGTCCACTGCTGTGGGCCATTCGGTCCCTGTATGAATGGGGCAGAAGCTTGGTCCTCATTGCCAGTTATAAGTTGGACATGTTCCCAGTGTGGGTTGGGCTCCGCCAGGGCTGGCCTTTGTCATCGATCCTGTTTATAATATTTATGGACAGGATTTCTAGGCACAGTCAGGGTGTTGAGGGTGTCCAGTTCGGTGGCATCAGGATTGCCTCGCTGCTTTTTGCAGACGATGTCGTCCTGTTGGCTTCATCTGCTGGGGATCTCCAGCGTGCTCTGGGGCGGTTCGCAGCCAAGTGCGAAGCGGCGGGGATGAGGATTAGCACCTCCAAATCCGAGACCATGGTTCTCAGCCGGAAACGGGTGGATTGCCCTCTTCAGGTCAGGGAAGATGTACTGCCTCAAGTGGAGGAGTTTAAGTATCTCGGGGTCTTGTTCACGTGTGAGGGTAGGCAAGATCGGGAGCTGGATAAGCGAATCAGAGCGGCATCTACAATTTTGCAGGCGCTTAACCGGTTCGTCTTGGCTAAGAAGAACTGAGCCAAAAAACAAAGCTCTCGATCTATTGGTCCATCTTCGTTCCTACCCTCACCTATGGTCATGAGCTATGGGTAATGACCGAAAGAATGAGATCGTGAATACAGGCGGCCGAAATGAGGTTTCTCCACAGGGTGTCTGGGCTCTCCCTTAGGGATAGGGTGAGAAGTTCGGATATCCGGGAGAGCCTCAGAGTAGAACCACTTTTCCTCCACGTCGAATGGAGCCAGTTGAGGTGGCTTGGACATCTGGTGCGATGCCTCCTGGATGACTACCTGGAGAGGTTTTCCGTGCATGTCCTACAGGGAGAAGGCCCCGGGGCAAACCCAGGACCCACTGGAGGGATTATATCTCTCGGCTGGCCTGGGAACGCCTCGGTGTCCTCCCTGAGGAGCTGGTAGAGGTAGCTGGGGAGAGGGAGGTCTGGGTATCTCTCCTGAAGCTGCTACCCCCGCGACCCGAACCCCGGACAAGCGGAAGATGATGGATGGATGGATGGAGTTCATAGTAGTAAGTACATTTTGCACTGCTCGGTCAGCACAGTTACAAGTACTGAAGTGGAGAGTGAAGGCCAAATGACTGCAGAGGCAAATTAACTTTACTCAGAAAGAAGAGGTGAGGCTGAAGACTATCGTTACAGAACTGAACAATATTGTGATATTAGTCACCGTTGTGCTGTCACGTTTCCGAGTGATTTAAAACTGAGATGCCTTCTGAAATTTTTTGAAAGTAATTGAAGTTTTGTTTTTGTGTTAAATGCATATATACCCATATTGCATTTAAAAGTCATATCTCAAACCCTCTTTTCAATCCATTGTGACTCTTTGAAAATCTTGGGTCCGACATTTAGGATAAAACGGCTCCTTGCTTTAAAAAGGTTGCTGACCTCTGGTCTAGACAGACCTTGCTTTGATTAAAATGGCATGATATCAATTCCCAGCTCTGCACCAAAATTATATGTTGAACTAATATATGTAAATGAGTGGAGAAAGATTAATTATGTAAAATACTGTATGCTAAATCAATCATCTTATAGGGTGCAAAGGGCTTCCCAGGGATAGCTGGTCCTCAAGGAAGAACCGGTTTCCCAGGGACTGAAGGACCTCCTGGAATTCAAGGTCCAATAGTATGTATCCACTACCTATGGAGTATAGTATGTGCTATCCAGTTTGTTCATCTATTACATAAATTATTATGGCGTAATCCACCATCTTCTCTCTTCATGCACCACCAAAGCCTTTTAATGCATTACTTCCCAAACTTGATTATGACACCCATTTATGCTAGTTTTGCTTCTACCTCAAATTGTTTTAATTCCATTCCCTTCAATCTATATTGATATAGTACCTTTCAAGCCATAGTCGCCCCAAGGCTTTTTACATGGGTGTAATCCTTTTGTATATCATTTGTACACAATAATCCATGGACAGATAATGCAGAAAATTTCTCATTTTGTGATATTTTACTGTATGCAAACAGATCATCATTTTTATCAGGTCAATTATTGCAATTATGGTTGCCACCATTGGCCCATATAATACAGGACGCAGCATGTTCCAATTCAGGATCGTCCCATATTATAAGGGACAGGTGGCAATCCTATTGCAACATGACGACCCACCCCCCACCCAGGAGTGTGACTCACCGAGCCATTGATTAATTCCAGTGAGGCATATCTGACAACACACTCTTATATATAAACCTTATTTGCCCTTCTACATGAGTGTTTGAACAATGTAGTGTTCACATTTGTCCTGCTTATTATGAATGTTAATGTATTTGTATTTTTGCTGAATAGGGGGAAATGGGAAGACCTGGTCTTACAGGTTCTAAAGGGGCTCAGGTGAGCATTACCCTTTATTTAGGGAAATTATTACAAAATAGAGGAATTCATTGAGACTTACTCATTATCTTTTACTCATCTTGATAATTAGGATAATTAGTAACTAAATGCTTCACTACTGTTAATTATCTCTTACTATTAAGTGTGTCCAATTATTTACATTAAGAAAATTTTCCTTTGTTCCATCCAAAATGTTCCCTACCTTGTTTAGGTTATTATCCCTGGTATTTTATAAATTCACTTGTAATCATACACTTGTGTCACATTAGCCAAAGAGTAAGAGTAATTGTTGTTGCTTTTAGCTTGGACATAACTCAAATGTGTTTATTTTTAAAAATTGAGCTGTGCACCAGCATATTGTAGATGAAGCGATTACTCAGGCATTGTACAGCTTCAACAGGTGTTTATTTAATTCTTATTCACATGCAGCACAATATCTTAATTTTTCTGTTTTTTGAGTACTTTATTACAAAATCAAGATAAAGACATGTATCATATTGATAAACAACAAAATCTTTTTGAACAAATGCTTTACGTTTTAAATTAATGTCTATACCGTTCCTAAAGTAAATTTATCAGTTCCTAAAAATTCAATTAAATCTTTTGATTCCTTTTTATAGCTGAGTGTTTAGTGAGGCATTGAATCATTTTATCCTGGTCTGTGCTACAGGGCTCTCCTGGAGAACCGGGATTCGCCGGACAACCTGGGCAGCCGGTGAGCTTTTTCCGTAGTTCCCAGCCCTGATTGCTGGCAGAGTCAATAAATTTGCAAGCACGTGTGAGCTGGCAGTATGAAATGAATTCAGCTAAAATCCACATGCATGCATATAAAATGGCATGTATTTACACTGCGAATTATGCTGGTTGTATTGTATATGACACACTCCTGCTAGTCTGCATTGTTTGAATATATGATTGCATAATTTTGCAGGGAATCCCAGGAAAACCAGGGAAAATGGGACTTCCAGGAGTCCCAGGATGCAATGGGACAAAGGTACATTAATGTGGTTTTCATAGGTCTATAGTGTCTAACCTGATGGTATTATAACCTGCCTGTTGGTATTACATGCACATATCTGCACAAAATATTACCATAGACATGTAAATTTGGTAACTTTTCCACCAGCCAGATTTATAATAACATGCCATTTCTCTAGGGTGACTTGGGATCCCCAGGGTGTATTGGTCCATCTGGATATAAAGGACCTCCTGTAAGTGATGGAGCTGTCAGAGACTCAATTAATCCATAGACTATTGTGTTGGCTAACTGTGTGACATTATTCCTCATTCTCATCATTTATTTTGTAAAGCTGTATGTTTCGTAAAGTGATTAGACTGTCATTGAATGTATCTCTTGCTTATATTTTGAGGGTCCCCGAGGACCAGCTGGACCCAAGGCAGGTTTTTTTGCTTTTGATTTGATTTATTCATTCACTATATTCTCTGTACACAAAACCACTTTTAGACTTTTAACACAGTGGATTATATTTATGAATGTGACTGCTGATTATATGTCTGTGACCTTGAATTGATGCCGTATCCATGGTACTTTGGTGTATGTGTGTGTATTTTTATATATATTTTTCTACTTATTTGTTTATTGGATTTTGTTTGTATAGGGTGCCTGCTATTTCTTTGAAGAAAAACAGGCAGTAAAAGGTGAAGGTGGACTGCCAGGAATAAAGGGGAAAATAGTAAGGGAATCAGCTACAGATTCTGCTGCAATAAACAAATCATTCCATAATGTGTGATTCTGTAAAGGTACTTTTCGTCAGTAGCCCTACTTTTGTGTGTAGCTCTATTTTTCTCTATGATAGGGTCAACCAGGAAATCCCGGCATTCTCGGTGCACGTGGACTGGCAGGGCCATGTGGCAGGACGGTGAGGGGATCTTGTGATTTTATAATAATGTGCAGCTCTAAAACTTGCTTAGATCAAATTTTGAATCTCATATTTCTTATAGGGACCACTGGGACAACCTGGTGCACTAGGAGAAAAGGTGGGGCCCCACAGTTTCTGGGTTGTTTTTCCTCTGTGACCCAATTACATGTACATTTGCACAACTGAAACCTCAGGATATGTGTCTATATATAATTTTAACCATTCTCCAAAAATTTGAAGGGCAAAGAAGGGCGTCCTGGTGCTCCAGGATCTCAAGGGCAGAAAGTAAGTTAAATCTGTTGGCAGTCTAGTCACTCTTACAGTAAATTAACCAGCAGCACTGATTAGTCAATCTTTGTCTATAATAGCATTTATCTCTGATTTCAGTAATAGTGCCACTTCCAACTATAAACGTATTTTACGTTGTACAATAATTTCAGCTTGCGACACTCTTAGCTGTACTTGCTTTTAATATTTACAGGCTTATGACTCTCTAGGGTGCAGCGGTGATAGAGCAGCTAAAAACTGCAGTTTATGTACAATATGAAAAAAGAGTGAATTCTAGTAATTTGGTTTCTTTTTCTAGGGTAGTCAAGGCCCACAGGGGACACCAGGGAAGGAAGGAAAGAAGTTATTCATAGAAGGACACCGAGAACTAAAGGTATACACTGGCACACACGCTAATTTGCACTGTCTTGAAAGAAGCTGGTGGATTGCCTGGAACCAGTTAAAAATTTGTTATATTTAAATTTGCTATATTTATTTGATTCAGGGTGAGCTAGGAGACCCAGGATTCAAGGGCCACCGTGGTAACCCTGTAAGTGCTGCAATCCATATATAACTGAACATTACTTTTTCATTTGTATGTTTTTTGTGTGTGGCAGTCTGTACTAGAGTTGGATGTCTCGAGACCGGTCTTGGTCTCCAGACCACTTTTACACTGTCTTGGTCTTGTCACAGTCTCGACGGTCTATGGTCTCAGTTTTGTCTTGGTCTCGGATCCCTCGGTCTTGTCTTGGTACCGCTGTCTTGGTCTTGTCTCAGATCGACATAGTGGTCGGGAGATTTGGAGCGAAAAGTATCCGACACACAACGTAACGTTGCATAACGCAACACATGGGCGTAAATCCCAGGGGGGACGGAGGGGACATGTGCCCCCCCAGGGTTGTCCCCCCCCAAAAAAATTATAAAAAAAATCGCACTCTCTATTGTGAAAAATATATGTATGTATACCTAAAATAATTGTGTAAGTAGAAAAAAAAAAACAAACACAAAAAATGCATTTAGAAACAGTTGAGTTCCCCCTCCCCTTCCTCACAGTGGTTTGGCCCACTGCCTGCTTTCCCAGTTCATCTCACCTACTGTACACACACGAGTCAGGTGTGTGGCTGCGGCTCAATTAATGTTGAACTCCAGTAAGTAGGGTATTTTATTCACTTTAAATGAAGCGATTCTCTTTAATGTAGTTGATGCAGACTCTCATAAATTGGTTGCGGCAAAAATGCTGATTACCGATGTAATTTTCCATGAATCTGCTGTATTAGCGATTAAAATATTACTTATCTAGTTAACGTTAGCTTGTTTACAATAGCTTGTTGCGTAGTGCACTGCAACTAACACGCCAAAGCCATTTCCCATGCATTGTTTTATTTGTGACGACTTGGCATAATGTTAACTTAACATTAACGGCCACAATTAGCATATTGTTTAGCTGTGCATTTACTAAATGAGCACAGTGCAGTACAGTTTTGAAAGTAAGTATTACTACATATTTTGTGTGGCTTGGGCCAGGTATGTACTAGGGGAGGCCATGGCCACCCCTTAGATCCATCCCTGGTCCAAGCCACCTCAGTTGTCCCAAAATATGGAGCATGTTCTCCCTGTGTTTGCATTGGCTTTCTCTTCATACTCTGGATCAGACCCGGCGCCACGGGGGTCGTAAGGGGCGTCGCCCCCTCAGAGGGATAATACCGCCCCCTCTGTTAAAATACGCCCTAACTGAACTTTTTTCTTTTTTTTTTTATAAACATATATATATTTTCATTTTAAAAGAGGAATATATAAGTTAGACCACTATAGTTATCTAAAAAATAAGGTCTACGTTTTACATACGTGTCAGTACGTTCTAGACTAGATTTTCAAATCCAGGCACTTGATTGGTCAATTGGGTGAGCAGAGCAAACTAACTCATTCACAACTTTGGGTTTTAGTAACTGGAAATATGCTACGGACACTGCAAAAGGGTTTAACAGACATGCCAATAGTAAAGAATGTCAAACATGCGTGACTTCTTGTAAAGAGAGACAGTTGCCATGTCCTACAGGCAGTGAGATTTCGATCAGCTCTCTCGAAACCGCCTGTATGTCTCTGCCATTGTAGACATTATTGAATTCCTTGTCTCAAATGAATTGCCATTGAGGGGATCCATCGATTCGGTTGATAACCGAGATCAAGCGGGAAGTGGACTTTTTCTGTCTTTGATTACACTTTGAGACAGAACGAAGAGCTTGTCTGGGCTTAAAGTACAGTTCCGAAAAACGCTATTGAGGTATGGTTTAATTTTTAAATGTTTTGGTGTGTTGGCTTGATCGAGAAATATGCACCCACTTGCTTTATGTTTAATGTTAAACATCGCTGCTGTGAAATGGTGTTTGGAACGTACGTTTAGGGTTTGTTAAACAGTAGCGTGTTTGTGTGTGCGATCAAACAGTTATTGTCATGTAGAACTAACAATCGTACAGTGTGCATATTTTGGGAGTTAAATCACCGCCCCCTCTCTGATTTCAATTGCCCCCCAACTTGTTTTCCGCTGGCGCCGGGCCTGCTCTGGATCCCTCCCATTCACATGTCGTGCCTGTGTTTCCTTGATCTTTCTCTGCACATTCTGGATCCCTCCAATTTGCATGTTCTCCCTGCGTTTACGCTGGCTTTCTCCGTATACTCTAGATCTCTCCTATTCGCATGTTCTCCCTGTGTTTTCCCCAGCTTTTGTTGCGTACTCTGGATCCCTCCCATTCGCATGTTCTTTCTGTGTTTACCCCGGCTTTTGCTGCATACTCTGTGTGAGGGCATGCCTTCAGTGTTATATTCTGTTAGGTGTCCAGTTTGAATGTAAAGGTTGTGTGTGTGTATTTTATACCTATATTCCAGATTGGTTCTCCCTTCAACAAATTGCATTCCATCTTTTGCCTCTGCTCCACTTTCAACAAACCCCATTTTATCTTCTTCATTTATCTTCTTCTTGCTCCAGAATTCCAGTGCAGGTCCCATCTTACCTGACATATGTTATCACCTGGAAGTGAATAAAAACAGCATTTAGTCGAAAACACACCACTTCTCTTGCTCATTTCATTTCTGATTGAGAGATGCACTGTATTTACTTACTCCTGGGATTTGAGTTTTGATTACGATTGTTGCTCTTGCCTTTTTTGCAGTCTTGGTTCTATATGTTTGTGCATATGTGCACCAGTTGTAGGGATTCATTGCCCCTATTTTTAGGTGTTAGGTTCAGTTAGAAATGTTTCTTTTCTTTAGTTAGTTGTGGGATTTTGTTTGTTGTTTTGGCATGAGTCCTTCCCAGTGTTAACAACAGTAGACTGTAAATCATCTATCAATACACTGGTCTGTTTCTTTTATATGGCTTGCTGTCTCCTTTTTTACCTCCTTTTTTCACTGTTGCCTCTGCTTAGTCATGCACCCACTCAACGCATCACACAATTCTGCGTGGCTGAACCCTAGACACGGTCCTTACACTACTGAAGATAAGCCCACTGTAACCCCACTTTGGCTAAACAGTTATGGAAAAATACACTTTGGAATTCTTGTACTAGTTTTTTTTGCATCTTTTAGTGTATCCTTGTCTCTCTATATTATTTTTATTTCATTGTCATTATATTTGTGCAGCTTGTAAGTCCATTCTATGATTCATTTCTAAACAGGGTTCACCTGGACATTTCGGGTTAAAGGGAGTAAAAGGTCTTCGGGGAGATTGTGGCCAAGAGGTATTTTTTTCAAACTGATGTGTCATTTGACTAATAAATGCAACATTCCAGTGCCCATAACTTACATGCATGTAATCAACTTTTCATTGGGACAGGGGCCACCTGGGAAGGCAGGAGTGTGTGGGTCCTGTGGTGATTGGGTAAGCTAGCAGATAGACGGCAAATTGTGGACTTTCATAATTTCAGAACAATTTATGCTGTTGTATTCTGCGAGGAGACACTCAGCTCAGAGAGTCAGTCCTTCACTTTGCTGAAAAGATGCTTGTGGTATTTAAATATGTCGTATTGTATAGTAGTGAACAAATTATAATCTAACATACAAAATGGATTTTACTGTATATGTCATGTATCATTCACCTTCAGGATAGACTTATTAAAATGTCACTCACTTTCAGGGATCAAAAGGAGCAAAAGGTTGCACTGGCGAAATAGGGGCACCGGGGGCACCAGTGAGTTTAGACCTAGATGTTTATGAAAAAGTATTCACTTTTATCCAGTGGCTTCTCTGCTGGCTTGTTTTATGGCTAATGCTTTATTACCATTTCTGCAGGGCTACAGAGGAGACTCAGGGCCCACTGGTCTCCCAGGAGAAGTAAGAATTATTCAGATTATTAAAAGCTATTATTTTAACATGTTCATAATATTAAATCCTTCCAAGGAGTTTTACCTTGCCACTGGCCACTTGTCTGGCTTGCTCACTTGGGGGTTTTGGGCAGGAATAATGTGATGTGCTTTGAAACAATGTAATTTTTTGAAAATAAGCTATACAAATTGAATTGAATTGAATTGAATCTAATTGAATCGAACTGAGTTGAGTTAATGGCACCTTTGGGCAGTACATTGCTTTGAACACATTTATACTGACCACACGTATGCACACAGTAGTTATCGTTTCAATAACTGTCATTCAGATCCAACCCACAGCTATGTGTATTGTGATTTAATTTTTAGAGGGTTTTCTGTCTACACAGCTGATTAAGATGCCCAGGTATATTAAAGGAGAGACAGGAATACCTGGATATCCAGGTCTCAAGGGAAAGCAGGGTCATGAAGGTATGTCTGTGCCAAACAGATTAGGAAAGCACACATTCTGCTTTAGTGTTTAAGTGTCAGCCAGGCTGTTAGCAACATAATGTTTTAATGTTATTGTTTTTTATTTTCAGGTTTATGTGGTTTAGCTGGTGCACAAGGCCCGCCAGGTCAGCTCAATACGCATTTCTTTCTTTACTCTTAACAGCAGTTTGTTATGTTCCATACTGCATACTGTAATACACATATGTAATCATAGTTGGGAGGGTTATCTTTGAAATTTATTCTGGTGCAACTACTAAATACCTGTTAAAAAATCTAGTCAGTAACCTAATCCATGAATCACAATATTTAAGTAATGTAACCTGATAGCTTTTCATGACTTTTGGATTGCCTCAATGTCAAATGTGCACATAAACTCAAAAGAAAAGAAATATAAATAAGATCAATTATTCTTCTGTAAGTATTATTTAAGAAAACAGAACAATGTAAGATAATGGAGGTACAAATAAATCATTTCAACATGCTTCTTAGTACATGGCTTAAGAGTGCCCTTAGTATTTTCTTAAGAAAATAGACAGTACAGAAAATCCTCTACATACGAATCTTCAAGATGCGAATACGCGTGTCCAATAAATTAAAAATAGTTTAAACAATTGCAAAATTGAAAATTGTGCCAGAATTTCAAGTTAGTTAAGTTAGTTTCTATCTCTGACACTTGTTTTTGAGGGTTGGGGGGAGGAGAGAGAGGTAGTTGTGCATACGCATTCTTGATACAGTAACGTAGGCTTGCTTGCTAGTGCTAAACAAGATCAACTGATTGAATATAATGGAAAAAAATATCTCTCAGTGGTTGGTTGTTAAAATGCACCCAAAATCAATAACAAAAATACAAATATTAACTTTTAAAAGCATTTTCTTATGTAAATATTTTCTGTAGGACTTGAAGAGAGAGAGGTAGGCTAGCTCAATAATGGTAAACAGTGAGATCAGCTCACGGAAAACAATGCAATATAAAATAAATCTCAGTTGTTTCTTGTTAAAGTATACCACAATTCTATAAAAAAAAATACAAATATTAACTTAAAAAGGCATTTTCTTATGTTCGAACAGCTGTATTTATATATGTTTTTGACTTGAGGGTTGGAGATTGGAATGTCTTCAACTGGATGCCTAAGCTAATTTTGTTGGATTTGTGACATTTGGACTTACAAACCCGCTCTCGGAGTGAAACTGGTTCATATCTTGGGGACTTTTAACTATGGCAGCCAATTCTTTGCTTAGACCTGTATGTTATGTCATGGGTTTTAAATAACTTACTAGACTGTTGTCACTATTTACGATCAAAACAATGTGAAAAGAAAATATTATTCTAATAATAGAGGTAGCTAGCTAGTTTACATGGACAACCATAGCTAACTAACTAGCGAGCTGTAGCACTGCTCATATGAATTAAAAAAAAGAAAAACATTGTCCTGTATAGCATTAGGGCATTTCATAATTTAATATCACCTACCAAACAGTTAATGAAACCACAGTGGAATGAGTGGATAACTGGTATTGACAAAAATTTGTATTGGCCTTTGATAAATTTAATAAGAAACATCTTACATTGCATGAGATTTTGTGTTTTGCCATCAATTCTTTTTTATATCTGGATTCCGTGATTCCATCTGTTTTCCACGTCGCAGAAATCATAGGGCTCTACATGCCTATATTGCCTATAATATAAGAAACATTGCAACATGAAGATGTGCGACTGCAACGATGCAAATAATGGTGAAATTTCAATATCTCGATACAGTGAAAGCATATTTGCAGTGGCTGAATGTTAAATGATTCATGTAGAAGGAGAGTAATGTCTTACGAGAGGTGTTGTCTCCGTGTGTTGTGTATACAGAAAATCATTTTTCATTTAAAAAAATATTCAAGTTTAATACTATAAGTGTAATAATCCTATTTCTTTTCTAAATTTAACGTGTCATGCAAGAATGGAATAGCTGGGCCACTAATCTTATCTTACTGATCTTTATTAAACTATCTTGAATGCTCTCTACAATAGAGTCGTGGCCAAAAGTTTTGAGAATGACAGAAGTATTGATTTACACAAAGTTTGTTGCTTCACTGTTTGTAGATCTTATTGTCAAATGTTTCTATGGTATACTGAAGTATAATTACAAGTATTTCATAAGTGTCAAAAGCTTTTATTGACAATTACATTAAGTTTATGCAAAGAGTCAATATTTGCAGTGTTGGCCCTTCTTTTTCAAGACCTCTGCAATTCACCCTGCCATGCTGTCAATCAACTTCTGGGCAAAATCCTGACTGATGGCAGTCCATTCTTGCATAATCAGTGCTTAGTGATTCTGACAGTGAGTTTGTCAGAATTTGTCGGTTTTTGTTTGTTCACCTTTTGAGGATTGACCACAAGTTCTCAATGGGATTAAGGTCTGGGGAGTTTCCTGGCCATGGACCCAAAATGTCCCCTAAGCCACTTAGTTATCACTTTTGCCTCATGGCACGGTGCTCCATCATGCTGGAAAAGGCATTGTTCATCACCATGTCCTTTGCTGCCCTTCTTGACACCAGGCCATCCTTCAGAAGTCTTCACCTCTCTGTGCGTGCAAATGCAGTTACACCTGTCTTATGCCATTCCTGAGCAAACTCTGTACTGGTGGTGACCCGATCCCGCAGCTGAATCGACTTTAGGAGACAGTTCTGGTGCTTGCTGGACTTTCTTGGGCAATCTGAAGCCTTCTTCACAACAATCAAATCTCTCTCCTTGAAGTTCTTGATGATCCAATAAATGGTTCATTTAGGTGCAATCTTACTAGCAGCAATATGCTTGCCTGTGAAGCCCTTTTTGTGCAAAGCAACAATGACTGCATGTTTCCCTGCAGATAACCATGGTTTACAGAGGCAGAACAATGATTTCAAGCACCACCCTGCTTTTAAAGCATCCAGTCTGCTATTCTAACTCAATCAGCCTGACAGAGTGATCTCCAGCCTGGGCCTCATCAACACTGTCACCTGTGTTAATGAGAGAATCACTAAAATGATATCAGCAGGTCCTTTTGTGGCAGGGCTGAAATGCACTGGAAATGAGTTTTTTGGGATTAAGTTCATTTTCATGGCAAAGAAGGACTTAATTGCAATTAATACCAATTCATCTGGTCACTCTTCATAACATTCTAGAGTACATGCAAATTGGCATTATAAAAACCGAGGCAGCAGTTTGTGAAAATTAATATTTGTGTCATTCTCAAAACTTTTGGCCATGGCTGTACACTCTTCATCAGCCATCAACTGTATTCCTGCCAACCAACACCCATGAGAAAGGGTAATGTGACATGCACAATACCAAAATGAAACTGGCCCATAAAAACACATTACAACTCACTCCTTTTTGAGAATTATAATTCCTTCATTAACCTATTCTTTGCCCAACCCATACCAATATATTCCCCAACTAATTATAGCTGTCCTCCTATATTACTCACTCAAATGGACACTCATTAAAACTCAAAATGAGACACTAGATGTGAGTCAATTACATTGGCCGTTTACTTAAAACAATATGTTATTTCCATTTTTAAATCTTTTACACAAGAAATAATATCAAGCTAAAACTGTTACCAATTAAAACTGCAATATGGGGATTACTTTTGCTGTTCTACCCCAAAGGAGTCTATTTCAGATGTCATAAAAGTGCTTGGGTGGTCTTATCAGTCTTCCACTGGATGAAGTTCTAAATGAAGTTTAGTGAACAACAACTTTAGTTCCAGCTTGGAGACCAACCTGAAATTTTCCCTCACTGTTAGATGTGATCCATCATGTATAGACTGGAATTGTTTATGGTTTCTAGGAGGACAGCACTTCTTCCGTCTGCACCCATTAAGATCGTAGCTCTGGTGTTTTATTTACCACAACTGCATGGATTTTCTAACCTTTTTCAAATCCAGTTTAAGCAGGACTTTCTGTTTCACCAGTCACCAGGTCTGGTAGGGTTTGAGCTGAGTGTCTCCTGTTATGGAAGAACTTTTTTGCTGCCTTGTCTTTCTTTACTACTGTCTCGCGCTTGACACAGTCAGGCAGAAAATCGTATTTATAGCATGTCAGCAGCTGATTGGGGCAGACCCCTGTGGCAGTAATGGGGATTGCTTGGCAGCACATTAGTACCAGGTGACAGTCTGGCTGGTAGAGGATACATTTCTGCCTGGACCACCTGGATCTCCCTGGGGGACCACCTGGATCTCCCTGGGGGAAATGTGGGCTGGACGTTGTGTGACGGGAATCATAGTCATGACTGAACTGCTGGAATTTGGTTCCATTGTTGAAGACTAGCTCCCAGGGAACACCCCAATTAAAGGCTGTCTTCAAATGAGCTATCTCTATGAGTAGTTAACCACCACTATCAGATAAGTTCTATCAGTCAGTTTACACAAACCTGCACAAAGAATCAGGAGGCAGAGTAGTAGCAATAAGGGACTCTTTCCTTTGAACTGATCCGTGAGCTCTGCAGAATGAGCATATTAAGATCTTCTTGTTAATGTTTTCCACTATGCCAGGCCACCCCATTGTCATTTTTGCTCTTTCCCTGCACTTGGTGGAGCCCCGATGTAGTTCTTGAATTCTGTTAAGAATTTCTTCATACATTATTGCTGGGATGATAATCCTGTCACATGGGCCATGTTTCCATTTTCTATTTTTGAATATTGCTGAATTATTTTGGATGTAATTAATCATGTTTCCACCTTGCCTACAGTATGTGTCAAACTTCTGCCCCACAGCATGCCACATTATACACCATAAATGTATATATTCAGGCTGAATTTCATAGATCTTTTTGAAACTTCCCAGGAACACAGGATCTGGTGCCTACTTCATTTTGAGACAAATCATACAAATATTGAAGCAGTGCCCCATAATTACAGCAAAGAGAAAAGAAAGTTCAGATATTTGATCTTGTTAATGCAATAAATCTAAAAGTATTTGGCAGATTTTTTCCCAGTTTTAAGACAAATTGCATGAGTGAAGATATTAGATGAGCACAAAAGAAAAGATGACCGCAGACGTCATTTTACTTTGCAGATATGTATTATTACACATTTATATGTGTTATAAATAGTATTATTATTTTAATTTCACAGATATGTTACAGTCAGAGAAA